TTGAGGCGTAAAATTTTGGAAATCTTATTTTTGAATGAAACTGAACGTTATTATATCATAAAAAAAATGTGCAAGTTCCCTATTCTGTGGAAGTTGCGAAAACATATTTAACATATAAGTTTTGTCGCTATGTGGAAAGAAATAGACGAGGACATTAAATGTGCTTGTGTAGCAAAATTGGAAATGTTAGTATTTGAAGAAGTGGTTGTCTAAAGAAACAAGATTAATTTGAAGGTTAGATAATAAACGAAGAAAAACGACATGCCGTGTATCAAATCAGGCAGCGTAAACAAGAAGTATGTGGATTAACCAACGAGAAAATTTTTTAAAGCCGTTTGGTTATATAAATTACGAACATTTATATAAAGGGTGAAAACCAGAACATAAGACACATTTAACACTTTGAGTCATTACCTTTGGGTGCTTTGTGGCACTGACGAAACCATAAGTAACGGATGTTTTATCGAAATATTGAAATAAGACAGTGATGATCGAGAGAGAAGAGAGTAACAGAAGATGATGAATTAACTTGAAAGGAGGTTATGAGATGTATGAGAATCTCAATAAACGGCTTCGATTTTCATCTGCCCTAGCTACGAATAATAATGAAGGTGTGTGGTTGTGATACTTGAATGCTTTTTATAGGCCTCCTTTAATCTAGAGAATGACGAGTATGGCGTAAAAAGTTGGATTTGTTCATTTTGTTGGGCATTGTAAGATAAAAGAAATGAAAAAGAAGACAATGCAAACATAAATTAACAAATTAACCCGAGGAGAGTATCTAGATTTAAAGAAGCGAATGCTCTATTTTGTTTTAAACAAAACCAATTGCAAACAAGTGAGAATATCGATAATGAAGGGTAAGTAAAGATAGATATAAAAGAAATAAAAAAATACGTATAAAAGTACCTACAGATATTATGAATAAAAAGTAGAAATACACTTAAAAATTGTTGTGTAAATATGATACAATTTAATTGTATATTAAGTTTAAAATAATGCAAAGCATCAAAGGACCGATCAAAGTAACATTGAAAAGAAACAAAACTTGAAAAATAATTATTTATTATCCGTCCTCAAAGTGACAAAATGTTTTGTGTAAAACTAGAGGTCGCTGGTTAAATGAATTAAAAATAATAATCGAAGATAAATGCAATATTTTGACTGTAAATAAATTACCGACAATAGCAAATAATAATTGTGAATAAATTACGAAAATTAGCTGGCTTTAAGTCATTACTCTTATCTGTACAAAGAAAAAAATTTATTTCTAAAATATTGGTATATTAATCGTAGTCAGTGGAGTAGAGTTGAAACTGCTGTCGAGACTGGCCTCCGACGTCCAGACATAAAAGGGACGAAACCGATCAACTGCATGTAATCACTGTACGCTCTCTCGATAGGAAGTGGATCTTGAGATAATTATAAAAACCTTCTGGCTGTTCGTGGTGGTCAGATGGTACAAGTCATCATCATCATCATCATTATTCAGCCCATACTCGTCCACTGCTGAACATAGGCCTCCCGTAGTTTCACCCCACAAATTTCTGTCCTGAGCCACCTGCATCCAATTTTGATCTGTCCGTTTCAGGTCATCCGTCCATCTTGTTGGTGGTCGTCCTCTATTCCTAAAGGCATCTTGTCTGGGTCTCCACTCAAGAATGCGTTTTGTCCATCTGCCGTCCTTCGTTCTCGCGACGTGCCCTGCCCAGTTCCATTTTAAGGTTGATATTCTTTTGATTGCGTCGGTTACTCCCGATCTACGGCGCAATTCTGTGTTGGGTATTCGGTCTCTCAGGGTTAATCCCAACATGGACCGTTCCATTGCGCTCTGTATTGTTCGAATTTTGTTTGCGGACGTCTTAGTAAGTGTTAGCGTCTCCGCACCATAGGTTAGAACCGGCAGCACACATTGATCGAAGACTTTTCTCTTCAAGCAGATGGGAAGAGCTGATTGGAAAACATCTCTTAGCTTTCCGTAAGCTGCCCATGTCAACCCTATTCTACGTATTAGTTCATTGGTCTGGTTATCTCTACTTAAGCGAATTTCGTGTCCCAGATATTTGTATGCTGATGTTTGTTCTATACTTGTTCCAGCTATGTTGATGTTCTCACTCAGAACAAGGTTTGTCATCACTTGTGTTTTTGAGTTATTGATCTTTAAACCCGCGGGTGTAGAGGCATGGTAGAGTCTTTCACACATTTCGATGGCATGATCTATGCGGTCTGTTATCAGGACTATATTGTCCGCGAACCTGAGGTGACTAAGCTGCTCTCCATTTATGTTTATGCCCTTTTCGTATAGGTTTGCACGTTTACACATGTATTCCAATAATGTTGTAAACAGTTTTGGTGAAATGGTGTCGCCCTGGCGAACTCCACGATGGATGTTGAACTTGTGTGTATCTTCATGGCATTATCATAGATATTTTTAATGACAGTGGTGTAGTGGTGATCTATTCGGCACTCCTCCAAAGCTTCCAGCATCTTCCGGTGGTTTACTGTGTCGAATGCCTTTTTATAATCCACAAATATTAGGACGAGGGGTTTATTGTACTCTATGCATTTTTCGATGAGGCTTTTAATAACTTGTAGATGGTCGTTTGTGCCGAAGCCTGACCTGAATCCTGCCTGTTCGCATGATTGGTAAAAAGTCCATTTTGTTCGAAAGTCTATTTGTTATGACTTTTGTAAAAAGCTTGTATATGTGTGAGATGAGGCTGATTAGTCTATAGTTTACGAGATTTGTTAAATCTCCTTTCTTAAACATTAGAATGATCACTGCATTTTGCAATTGTGATGGTGTTGTTCCTGTTTAAAGGCATTCTGTGAAAAGTATGGAAAGCATTTGTATCAGTTTCTCGCCTCCTAATTTTATGGCAGGTGACTTATTATTTTTCATTTGTAGGAGAGCTTTTTTGATTTCATCAACAGTAACATCTGGTATGTCTTCCGAGCCCTGGTTTAGAACCTTTGGTATGTTGTCAGTTGGAACATTTTCTTCTGTTTTGCTGTAGAGTTCGCTGTAAAATTGTCCGACAGTTTGTAGAATTTCCTGTTTATCTGTTATTATTTCGCCCTTTGTGTTTTTCAGTTTGTAAATGTTTTTCTTTCCTATTTGCTGTTTCCTTCTGAAGACTTTTAAACTTTTATTCTCTTCTATGACTTTTGATATCTCTCTGGTGTTGTAGTCTCTTATATCCTTTTCTGATGTTCTTAGTGATTTGTTTGTTTAGTTGTCTCATTTTTTTTAGATTGGTTCTGTATTTATCTGTTAGTTGTCTTCTTTCCTCTAATAGAGTTTTCGTGCTTAGACTTAGTTTTTCTTCGTTTTTTTGGTTTTTTGGGCAACATTTTTCTTGTGCTTGTTTCAGAGCTTTGACTATTTTCTGGTTTAGTTGTTCGATGTTTATGTTTTCTGTTTCTTCGTTTTGTAATTTTTCTTCGACCGTACGTTCAAACAGTTTTGCATTTTCAGGTGGTACCCATCTTCTAACATTTGGTTTAGGAACAAGCTTCATTCTTTTTTTTTTAACGTTAAGCATTACTTTTGTTCTTATCATCCTATGGTCGCTGCCAGCAGAGAACTTGTTGAGTACTTCGACGTCTTGTATTATATATTTTTTATCTGTAATGATAAAGTCGATTTTGTTTTTGACGGCGCCATCAGGGCTTATCCAAGTCCATTTGTTTTGGGGTTTATTTTTAAAGAAAGAGTTCATTTGAAACATGCATTGATGATGTAGAAAGTTTAAAAGCATGTCCCCTCTTGCGTTTCTTGCCCCGTATCCGTACTTTCCTAACGCGATCTCCGCTTTGAATCCGAGTTTTGCGTTGAAGCCGCCCATGAGAACAGTATAGTGTGTTCGTGTTCTTTATTGTGCCTCTGCTACATCCTCATAGAATTTTTCATCTTCTTCATCTGTGTGTCCAGTTGTCGGGGCGTAGACCTGTATAACTTTTAAACCATAACGAGAGTTTAGTTTTAATATCAATAGGATGACTCTCGTGCTTATAGTCTCGATTCTCGTTATGTTGGGTATGTGTTTTTTATGTACAATGATCCCGATTCCACCGCTGGATGAATGTTTCTCTCCTCTGTAGTGGAACAGGTGTCCTGATTTCAATGTTTGTTGTTCTTCTCCTCTCCTTCTAATTTCACTAAGTCCCATTACATCGCATTTTATTGTTTTTAATTCGTTTTCCAGTTCTATTAGTTTATGATCGATTGAGAGGGTTCTTATATTATAGGATGCAAGATGCAGTATTCTTGTGCAGTTTAGCCGTCTTGAGTGGTAGCCTGGTCCATCCCGGGTATTCTTAGCACCCTCTGCTCTTAATCTTTTCTGTCCGCTACCTTGGTCAGAGATTTTTGAGCTGCCGGGGACTGAGGGCCGTGTTTGGTTTGTGTTTTGCATGTTTACGGGGGGTTTGGCCTTAAAACGCCACGCTGGCCAGACGTGTTGGCGAGTGGGGGGAGGATATGGGGTAGGAATTTGGGGTTTGGGTAGGATAATATTGGGGTTTGGGCCTGGTTTCCCCTAAGTAGGGAGTAGGGGAAAACCAGGAGCTCGCTTGGGCAGGGGCGCTACCTCCCTGAAGTAAGTCTACCCTCTATCGGGATTATAGAGGGGTACCTACCCGCTACCATTTGTGCCATGGTACAAGTGCTCCCCCATAAATCAGCGATATTGTATGGCGCTTTTGAATGACGATAATCAAACTTAATGGTTACTGAAATATGATACTTTACAGCGGTTTGTGTGCTGTCGACATAATTTTCAAAATCTGATTCTTTGCACTAAGCAAATTTGACAATGAGATTTTACTGAATAGCAGAAAATAATATCTTTTAAAGTAAATAACTAGTTGGAATAGACCATTAAATAAAATCATATTAAAAAATTATATGAAAATAAAGATTAAATACTTTTTCAAACAGTAGTATTATTAAAAACGAATACTATATTTAAATATACAAGATAACTAAAAGCCGTATTAAAGTATATTTTTATATTTTGTACAGATTTTTTAAACATTTATAGACTTAAACGGCTACCGTTGTCGTAAGAATCACCTTTTTCACCAGACTCCAAAAAATAATCCATAACTCGAAAAGTATTGTCACCTAATTCATCATGATCATTTGTCAAATTTTTCTTTTGTGTAGTATGATTTTGATGTACTCCGGATCTCGTTTTGATTAAGTTTTTAAGTGTTAATTCCTTTGTCGTATTTCTAGGAATATTACAATAATTTTGTTTGTCTTGGGACTTATCAAATTTTCTCGAAAAGTATCTAAAAATTTACAACAAAAAATTATTATTTAAAAAAGTACTTCGGAACTAAATTTAAAATGTTTATTTAACCCTTTAACGCGCAAATTACTTTTTCTTATTTTTTTCGGAATTTAAAATAAAATTTTATTTAAATGGAATGTCATTTTATAAAAAATGACAAATTTATAATTAAATTTTCATCACAAAGTATTTTTTGAGGTGGCTTGTATATGTGCCACTAACCGTCCTAAAAACCCAATAACATCTAGAGTTTGGTGGTTAGCCATATAGCCACTTATTTTTTATATAAATAAATTACGAAAGTGTTTCAAAATATCTTTATTTAAAGATGAGACAAATTGTATCCATCCAATGGCACTACAGCCCAAATCGGGCCTTGGCCATCTTCAACAAGCTTCTCCAATCATTTCGATTTACCGCTGTTCTTTTCTATGAACGCGTTTCCAGGTAGTTCCTGACATCCCCATCGACTTCGTCTTCCCATTTCTTTTTAGGTGTTCCAGTAGGTCTTTTTCCCTGCATTCTTCCATTTAGTGCATGGAACAAATTAAAACGAGAAATTCACAAACATAACATTTCTACAAATTCTAAATAGCGACTGTTCAAAATAAAAATCTACCCAGTTTATGAAATTTTGCGAGACATTCTAAACACAGACCAACATTACACTCACTACATGCTATTTTTGATCTCTTTATATTTGATATGGTGGAGCAACGTGCACATCGCCTATACTTACCCGTTACTGGTAAATGCACCCCAACATACATTTTTCTAATAACATTATTGGTAGCAATAAAACGTCTACCAATTTTACGCACTTTGTTTTTGCTTGTAGTAGTTGGCGCACCTCTTTGTTTTTTTGCCGGAAAAATTACCAATTAGTTCATTGCCTAGTATCGATAGAAATTGTAAATGAGACATGGCGTTTTTTTAGCGGCCATTGATGTTTTATACATGATATATATACGTTCACAATCGCAGAATCTAAAAGGTTGAAGAAAATTCTCTTCCACCATTTACGACTTTTCCATGAGATGGAGTAGGAAGCAAGGTATTGATCAAAAAGATCAACGTCCCCCATGAATTTGTTGTATTCAGCTACTGATTGTGGACAGGGTACTTTCTCTTTTTTTCCTTCTTTGTTTGTTCTTTGTTGTTTGGAACTCGAGAACCCCTCTTTGCAATACAAGTTTTGAATCAAAAATGCCTGGATCAACAGAAAGATGTTTACGTCTGTTTTATCGACTATGAGAAATCATTTGATACTATCAAACATGACAAACTCATAGAACTATTACGTCTTTCAGGACTTGACACTAAGGACATCCAGATTATAAAAAATCTATATTGGAATCAAACAGCCCACATGAAGAATGGACATATGGTGAGTGAAAACATAACTATTTCTAGAGGGGTAAGACAGGGATGTATTCTTTCGCCACTGCTTTTCAACCTGTACACGGAACAAATATTTCTAGAGGCACTAGAAGAGTACAATGAGGGCATCAAAATTAATGGCGTACCAATAAGTAATTTTCGATATGCAGATGATACTATTATACTCGCCGATAACATCGAAGATTTACAGATGATGCTACATAGAGTTAATACAACTGGCAGCCGATTTGGACTGAAGATCAATAGAAAGAAAACTAAATTTATGGTGATCAGTAAAAAAAAAATTTCAACATATCGACCTGCATATTGAAGACGAACGTATTGAAAGAGTACACCGATTTAAATATCTGGGATATACAGTAAATGACAAGTGGGACCCAGAAGTAGAGATTAAGATCCGAATTGAAATTCATCAAAATGAGAAAGCTCTTAAGCAACCGCAACCTAAGCATTAACCTGCGATGGCGCGCCACGAAATGCTACGTACTCTCTACGCTACTTTACTGCGTAGAAAGGTGGACGTTAACAGCAGCAACTATAAAGAAGTTAGCGGCTCTAGAAATGTGGCTGTATCGACGCATACTGAGAATACCTTGGACAGACAGAGGGACCAACACAGAGGTATTAAGACGAATGGGTAAAGAGGTGGAATTGTTAACAACTGTTAAAAGGAGGAAAGCGTCATACCTGGGCCATGTGTTCAGTAATGATAAGTACAGTCTGCTACAGCTTATCGTGGAAGGCAAGATTGAAGACAGAAGAGGTTTGGACAGAAAGAAGAAATCCTGGCTGAGAAACTTGAGAGAATTGTTTTAAATACCAGAAGCTGCGAACATAATTCATGCGGCAAAAAACAGAGAAACCTATCGTATGATAGTCGCCAACCTTCGGTAGAAGACGGCACATTAAGAAAAAAAAGTTTGTTCGAACAACATCAACTTTCAATGAAGGATCATGAAGAGAACTAATTACAACCACACACTTTTTGCCTCTGTCATGTCATTTGCAAACTGATATTCCACAGCACAAAGCTCCTACAAAATGAGATTTACCCAGTTTTAATTGATTATCATTTAGCAAAAGGTTCTTGATATAATGCTTTCTATTTACTGTGAAAATACCGCAGGCAAATGTATTATTATGTAGTAAATTGGACAGCAAGTCAATTGTGGAAAAAAAGTTATCAAAGTATAAAGCATAACCTTTGAAATGGTATGGCTCGCTCAAATGCAAAAAAGCTCTTTCACCCAATGTATCCTCAATGTGACTGGTTTTCTTTTCTTCATATACTTTAAATGAAAGCATACAACCTGTTCGTGCACAGCTTTAACCCAACGGCTAACGGCTAACCCAAATTTTAAAGCCTCGTTTAACAGGCTTTATGGGCATGTATTGCTTCAAACTTGAGCACCCCTTGAAGCCTACCATGCTTTTATCTATTAAAAGCTCACTGGATGGTGAAAATAAAAGTTTACATTCTGTATTTAGATGGTCGATCTTCTTCTTCACGTGCCATCTCCGCGACGGAGGTTAGCAATCATCATGGCTATTCTAATCTTAGATGCTGCTGCTCTGAATAGTTCAATTGATGTGCATCCGTACCATTCCCTCAAGTTACGCAACCATGAGTTTCTTCTTCTTCCTACACTTCTCTTGCCCTGGATTTTCCCTTGTATAATCAATTGAATTAGGTTGTATCTCTCATTACGGATAACATGCCCCAGGTATTGCAGCTTTCGTGTCTTGATGGTTTCCAATACTTCCATTCTTTTGTTGATTCTTCTCATGAATTCGTTGTTTGTTACATGCTCGGTCCATGATATCTTCAGGATTCTTCTATACACCCACATTTTAAAAGCTTCCAACTTTTTAGCAGTCGACGCGTTAAGTGTCCATGCTTCCATCCCATAAAGCAGAGTCGAGAAAATATAACACCTTCCCAGCCTAACTCTCAAGTCCAATTTTAGTTCTCTTGCACAAATATGGTCGATAAGTGGTCTTAATTTATGAAGTTTATCAAGGTTATTTTCACCTTTTTGAGCATTTTTCATTGACGTTCATATATTTGTGACGTAGAATCGCTAAATAACACTTTACGCTCATAATGTTTGCGATTCTATGAACTCAAAAATTTTGGTCATAAGACCAATACATTCTTATCCCAGGAAGTTGATAAAATCCCACGATTATTATGATTCCAATAAAACCTTGAAGTTCGTCTATCTTAATTGAAAAATTATGCCTAGTTTGCCTTGCATACACACTGATTTCCTCAACAATCTTGTTTAGTAACTAATCTGAAAACATTTTTTTAAATATTTCCATAGTTGTTGCTTCTTCTATGTTAGGAAAATTCTCATAACACAAAACATAACCAAAAATAGGACAAATAGTCTAAGAAACTCACTGGATTTCCTTAGCGCATATCTTGTTTGAATGCAGAAATTGAGTTTTACATTATTATGCTATGAAAATTATACTTACAATTATTTGTAACATTAGTAATTTGAGCACAACACAATAAAACGTTCAACAGCTACTCGTGCTTTTAGTGGAGAGTGCAGTTTAGTTAGTGGCGCACATAGTAGCCAGGTGTATCTTATTTTAGAGGAGGCAGGACAAGTAGCTTTTATAGGAGGCAGTGAGCATTGCGCGCGTCGTAAACAGCTATTACACATCATAATCACTTGAATTTACGTGGCTTTTGGACTGTATTATAATCATTAATACCCAAGAGATTAAATGTCGCATCAGAAAGGCCAAAGTGCATTCTTGACTATTAGCTCTGTGTTCAAAAGCCATAACCTTACCCTGAAAACAAAAACAGGTCTCCTTAAATGTTACGTGTACTCAGTGCTTCTGTATGGAGTAGAAACGTGGACATTGAAGGCGGAAACTCTATCAAAACATCAGGCTTTTGAATTATGGTTATACAGAAAAATCCTGAAGATACCATGGACAGACAAAGTCACCAATTAAGAAGTACTGCGGAGGATGAACACAACCGCGGATTTGGTCAACATTGTGAAGAGCCGTAAGCTGGAGTACTTGGGACATATAATGAGAAATCAAGGTAGATACGAGCTACTCCAAAGCATTTTGCAGGGTAAAATTAAAGGAAAAAGAGCCCCAGGACGAAGAAGAATATCATGGCTTGCTAACCTGAGAGCATGGTATAGAAAGATCTCAACACAGCTATTTCGTATAGCAACCAACAAAATCATCATAGCCAGAATGATCGCCAACGTTCGGAACGGACAGGCACCCTAAGAAGAAGAAGAATGGACTGTACTGTAAGTGGCTTCTATTGTTGTCACCAACTGTTAAAGAGTTAAATTTTCAAAGCTCGCTGCGATGTAAATACACGAGTTGGCTTGCGTGTTCAAAAAAAGATTTTTAATTGTATACTAGTTCACTTCGATGTTCGTATACCGTCTGATTCACATCACGTTTAAGCCAGTGGTGCTCAGATCAGTGGTGGCTGGTCTTATGAGGCAGTGCCTCACCAGTGTATCAATCGACTATTAACTTTATTTCGTTATGGGTGGTTAAAACGTAACGGTTTTAGTTAAAACCGTTTTTATCATATAAATAAAA